TGAGCTCGGGACCTGCCACAAGCTAGAACTGAGCCAGGCTGCCTGTCCACCTGGCTCCTAATACACTTTAAATGCAGAGCTGCAGCAGGGGTATATCTCGGCCCTGTCACAAGCCAGCACTGAGCTGGGCTGCTGGTCAGCCTACTAATACATTTACTGGTGGGAGAAATGTGGGAAGTCGGTAGCATTAAACTATAAGCTTTTGCTAATTGGTTATTTGACTACACTATTACATCCCTACTTCCTACAGGGCACCCAGGCTTGTTCCAGGCAGAGGTTATACTAGAGCAGCTCCTGTCCACAGCAGGCACCTGCAGTGCTGGAGCAGCCCCAGGCCTGTGGCAGGTGGAGAGCTATTCCAGCTCTACCAGTTAACCTTAATTGGGATGTCTCATCTGTTAAGAGTGTGATTTACCAGTCTAGCCTTCACATCTTTATTTGTAAACAGTTCAAAAGAGAGGATCGTATGGAGGCAGCATAAAAGCAGTGCCTACTTTTAGGGCTGCTTTTCTCCTAGACCTAGAAGAATAACTCTTTGCTATTGACATTTGTTCTGAAGAAAGTATTGAGAGCTCTCCAGCGGCACAATCCTGGATGAGGATTGTGTCAGGCTGATGAAGACCCAGGTGGTATTAGGAACCTACTCACCTAGTTTTTGCAGCCCAAGCTGCTCCCAGAGGTATTAAGAGATGGATTATTTGTGAACCCTATTGATAGGTAAAAGAGTTTATTTTTATTATGTTTTCATAAACTAGATTTTGAGAGGGGGAACATAATTTGAAACTTAGGATATATATTGCTTAGAGAGTTGGAGGGCAAGCTGAGGCCTGGATAGCCAGATGTGGGCATGAAGTAGACTGGCCCTCCCATGCTGGTTAAGCATAACTTTCCAAGACAGTAATTCATGTTGAAGGTCATTTCGAAAGGTGACCTTCAAAGATTTCTTTTAACATAATTATAATAACTGTAAGAATTCCAAAAGAGAAAAAGTATATTACATTATTCTAAAGTATTTTGTGCCCACTTGAAAAAGAGTCTCTACGCTTCAAGGTCCTTAGAAATCTCAGCTTTAGGCTTTTTTTTTCTACCAATGACATCACAAATACCATTAACAATTGGAATTAAAATAAAGGTTAGAATGTAATGAATTTCAAACACTTACAGCACTTGTGGATTTTATCAGGTTTTTCTTCCTCTTGGAATAAGGGGGAAATAATTTAAAATACAGTGCTACTTGTACCTTAAACAGTAACATCAGTGATAGATTCCAGTTTTTCCTTTCCTTTTAAATGTACCAGAGTCTTCACAATTCATCTTTACATCTTTGTTGTGGAGGTTAGAGTTGCAAAATTTTCCACTGAAAATGAATTGGTAGAAAAATGAAAACATACAAATCTGAAATTGCATGTATAGTACAACTTCTCATAGTTTCTCTCTGACAGGAGAAAATTGTTTTATATTTTTTTCTACTATTCTCACCTTCTGAGATTATTATAAACTTCATAGTTTACACGCTGCTATCAAGTTAATTGGTTTTTTTAAATACAAATATTAAATTGGATATAATAGTGCCTATGCAATGATACTTACAAAATAATTTTTGAATGATTGTTGTAAGGAAGCTTAGATTTTTGTCCGTGTTAATCCTCCTTGTCTATTGAAAACTCATTTTTTAATGGTGGTAATGTTCTTTAACACATCTTGCTATCGACTTAAAATATTTACTGATAATAACCCTGTTGTTGATATTTGTACTTTACTTTTAGGAGAACGCCCTTTTAAATGCAATGAATGTGGTAAAGGTTTTTCCCAGAAGCACTCTCTTCAAGTTCATGAACGGATGCATACTGGAGAGCGACCATATACCTGTACTGTCTGTAGTAAGGCTTTAACAACTAAACATTCTCTTTTGGAACACATGAGCCTACATACGGGTAAGTAATCCAAGACAAATATAATCAAGTTATGCTAAGTATTCGACATTTCAAAAAAAAATTTCTGCTCTGTATTCTTTTTTTAGAGCAAGTATTAGCTATCTGATATATGGAGTTGTGCAAAAATGTTAGTTATGTTTTATCTTAATTTTTGGTATTTAATTCTCTGTATTTTTAAGGATATTGATTTTTATTACAGGACAGAAGGCTTTTACATGTGATCAGTGTGGAAAGTATTTTAGCCAAAAGAGACAACTGAAGAGTCATTACCGAGTGCACACAGGTATAACAAGGCTGGTGTGAAAGGGTGAGCGGGCTTCCTGGCTTTGCCGGGAACCATGATCAGTTAGGCTGTCACGTGGTCTCTTGCACTAGAGATGAGCTGAGTGGTGTAAAAATAGTACCATCACTGTCTGTTGTGGATATTCTGCCTTGTGGTGTTCAGCTACTTCTCTGGCTGAATGGTATTGATAAGCTTTAAAAGAAGTCCCTAGGTTTATTCTAGAAGGATGATGGATGGCTCATAGGCATGTACAGTGAAGGCGAATTAAAGAATATCACAGCACTAAAAACAAAAAGAAGTGATAGATTCCTGATGGGGACCAGGAGTTAAGGCAACCAGCATACTTTCTTCAATGATGAAAATAACTGGGGAAATGAATTAGAATGATGCTGCCATTTCTAGAGTTGATCAGCAACAGAAATAACTACTGAATCATTGTTGTCTTTGTATATAAAAGTGGTTATTTTACAGGGAAGTGCTTTAACAAAGAACACTGAAGAAATACAGTGGATCACTTATGCACTGACACTTTTTTTATTATTGCGACAAGGCCATTCGTTGCCGGAATGTATCCAGTGTCATCGCAAATTCATGGATGCAGCTCAGTTAAAGAAACATCTAAGAACACATACAGGTAATAAGATGTTACATTTTTCTTTCAAGCTTGTTGGCTTTGAGGTTCACACACTCCATCCCTGGTTGGCAGTGAGACATCTGCTATGTGTGCAGTGAAGTCCTGGCTCCTAGTGAGGAGGTATGTCCCCTGGGAATGGCCACAGGAGTTTGTAACTAGGAATGTAAAATCCTATTTAACTGTCTAACTGTTTAAACATATTGGTTAACTGATTAGAGGGGGGGTGAGCAGCTGGAGCAGCCCCCATGTCCTTTGCTAAGCTGGAATGACACCTCCCCCTCCACCAGAGGTAGGGTCTGCTCTGGCTGGGATGTCAGAGCAGCCCCTGCCTGTGGAAGGCCCATACACTCTGCGGGCAGGGGCTGCTCCAGCATCCATGTAAGGCTGCCCCTTCCTACTAGGGATGTTAAATATTGAATAGTTGAGTAATCTCATGAATTCTTATTGGTCAGTTGACTATTCTATAGTCTTCGGGGTGGGGCCAGCAGCCAGTGCACTCCAGCCCTACTCCCGAGGGAGCCCCTTGTCACTCTGCACTGCTCCCTCTGTGTTAGAGGCAGCAGCACAAGATGCCAGGCAGGAGAAGATCCATGAGGGGAGCCAGTTTAAAAACCAGCTCCCCTCATGGACTGGCTGCCTATCACCCTGTGCTGCTGCCTCTGATAAAGGGGCAGAAGCGCAAGGTATCAGCAGCCCGTTTGGGGCAGGATCTGAGCTCTGGATCTGCCACAAGCTAGAACTGAGCCAGGCTGCCTGTCCACCTGGCTCCTAATACACTTTAAATGCAGAGCTGCAGCAGGGGTATATCTCGGACCTGTCACAAGCCAGCACTGAGCTGGGCTGCTGGTCAGCCTACTAATACATTTACTGGTGGGAGAAATGTGGGAAGTCGGTAGCATTAAACTATAAGCTTTTGCTAATTGGTTATTTGACTACACTATTACATCCCTACTTCCTACAGGGCACCCAGGCTTGTTCCAGGCAGAGGTTATACTAGAGCAGCTCCTGTCCACAGCAGGCACCTGCAGTGCTGGAGCAGCCCCAGGCCTGTGGCAGGTGGAGAGCTATTCCAGCTCTACCAGTTAACCTTAATTGGGATGTCTCATCTGTTAAGAGTGTGATTTACCAGTCTAGCCTTCACATCTTTATTTGTAAACAGTTCAAAAGAGAGGATCGTATGGAGGCAGCATAAAAGCAGTGCCTACTTTTAGGGCTGCTTTTCTCCTAGACCTAGAAGAATAACTCTTTGCTATTGACATTTGTTCTGAAGAAAGTATTGAGAGCTCTCCAGCGGCACAATCCTGGATGAGGATTGTGTCAGGCTGATGAAGACCCAGGTGGTATTAGGAACCTACTCACCTAGTTTTTGCAGCCCAAGCTGCTCCCAGAGGTATTAAGAGATGGATTATTTGTGAACCCTATTGATAGGTAAAAGAGTTTATTTTTATTATGTTTTCATAAACTAGATTTTGAGAGGGGGAACATAATTTGAAACTTAGGATATATATTGCTTAGAGAGTTGGAGGGCAAGCTGAGGCCTGGATAGCCAGATGTGGGCATGAAGTAGACTGGCCCTCCCATGCTGGTTAAGCATAACTTTCCAAGACAGTAATTCATGTTGAAGGTCATTTCGAAAGGTGACCTTCAAAGATTTCTTTTAACATAATTATAATAACTGTAAGAATTCCAAAAGAGAAAAAGTATATTACATTATTCTAAAGTATTTTGTGCCCACTTGAAAAAGAGTCTCTACGCTTCAAGGTCCTTAGAAATCTCAGCTTTAGGCTTTTTTTTTCTACCAATGACATCACAAATACCATTAACAATTGGAATTAAAATAAAGGTTAGAATGTAATGAATTTCAAACACTTACAGCACTTGTGGATTTTATCAGGTTTTTCTTCCTCTTGGAATAAGGGGGAAATAATTTAAAATACAGTGCTACTTGTACCTTAAACAGTAACATCAGTGATAGATTCCAGTTTTTCCTTTCCTTTTAAATGTACCAGAGTCTTCACAATTCATCTTTACATCTTTGTTGTGGAGGTTAGAGTTGCAAAATTTTCCACTGAAAATGAATTGGTAGAAAAATGAAAACATACAAATCTGAAATTGCATGTATAGTACAACTTCTCATAGTTTCTCTCTGACAGGAGAAAATTGTTTTATAAATAAGGATAAATATAAATATTTGCTTTTTGTAATTCCCTAAGTATGTATTGTCTGTGTTGTTGTGTCGGTGTTTGCTTTCTCATTTACAAGCAGGTGAATATTTTTATTTGCATGATTTTGCCCACTGTATTTTCTGTCTAGGACAGTATGGTGTGCTATTAGATTAAAACTTCCATTGTTAGCGGTCGGGAGAGCACAGTAAATATAGCAGTGGGATAAATGTGTAGTGAAGAGTAAAGAGGCGTGTCAAGGTCTGTGTTAAAAATAATGTAGTTGTCTTCAGAAACAGCAGGTAGTGCATCGGAAATAGCAGGTGGTGAGAGGTAAACTGATTTGGCCCTTCTCTAAAGTAAGGATGTTAAGGATAGTCTATTTCCCCCCTGCCTCTATCAGATAGAGGCAGCAAAGGTGGGGGGGGGAGAAGGGGTACTTCAAAGTAGCATTTCAAAGGGGCAGCAGGTGCACAGCTGATGCGTGGCTTAGCTGTGCGACACTGCCCCTTTAAAATGCCGAAACCCCATGGAGCCTGGGGTCAGCTGGGGTTCCACTGAAATGCTGTGCAGAGCCTGGGATCAGCTGGGAAGTCCTCCGCTGACCCCTGGGCTCTGTAGCTTTGAAATGCACAAGAGCCCATACTGGGGACTCTTGTACATTTCAAAGCAGGCATGCCCGTGAGTGGGGGCTCTTGTACATTTCAAAGGAGGAATGCGGAAGTATCTATCACTGGTCGATGCTACTCGACTAGTCAGTTAACCAGAATTTAACATCCTTACTCCAAGGGCTCGTCTACACTGGCCCCTTTTCCGGAAGGGGCATGTAAATTTCACCAGTCGTCGTAGGGAAATCCGCGGGGGATTTAAATATCCCCCGCGGCATTTAAATAAAAATGTCCGCCGCTTTTTTCCGGCTTTTAAAAAAGCCGGAAAAGAGCGTCTACACTGGCCCCGATCCTCCGGAAAAAGCGCCCTTTTCCGGAGGCTCTTATTCCTACTTTGAATAAGAAATATTCCTTTGAAGTAGGAATAAGAGCCTCCGGAAAAGGGCGCTTTTTCCGGAGGATCGGGGCCAGTGTAGACGCTCTTTTCCGGCTTTTTTAAAAGCCGGAAAAAAGCGGCGGACATTTTTATTTAAATGCCGCGGGGGATATTTAAATCCCCCGCGGATTTCCCTACGACGACTGGTGAAATTTACATGCCCCTTCCGGAAAAGGGGCCAGTGTAGACGTAGCCCAAAGGTAGAAAAAAACAGGAAAAAGTGACTCATCTCTATTTTTTGTTGTTGAATGTAAGTGCCCTGCTATGAATTTTGAATTTTAAATTCTTAAATTTGCTTTTACTCAGTCTCCAGTTTCCTTTCTTCTGCCCAGATAGTGATAGGAACTTAGATCACTGTGTGATGATTGATGATATATTATATGTCTAGGCACTGTAGAGAAATGTTACTTTACTTTCACTTTGCTTTGTTTGCTATTATGTTGCTTTTTATCATTGCATTTAATCTCTCTGCCTAGTTCCATGTAAGAAGAGTATTGAGTATACCATAAAATTCCAGTTTACCAACTCCTGTTAACTGAAGTTCCATTGTGTTCTCTGGAGTTGGCTTCACTGTGGTCAGCCTCTTGAAAAACAATACTTTCTCCCACCAGAAGGATAAGAATTTAACTTGCTATATTCCTGAATTAACAAACATGAATAACTTGCTTTTACATTTTAGTGTGCACAGAGGCAATTTCTTAGCACTTACACGAGCAGGCAGTGTAACCTAATGGATAGAGCATGGGATTCTGGAGACCTGGGTTCTGTTCCAGGCTCAGCCACTGGCCATCGAGGTGACCTTTAGCATTGTTTTTCCTCAGTTTCCCCATTTGTAATGTGCAGATAATGATACTTAAGGTGCTTTAAGATGTACTGATAAGTTCTCTGTGAGAACCTGGGAGTGGTATTATCTATTATTACAGTAATTGTAACTTCTGAATGTACAACAAACTATTGTTTTTTGTAGGTGAGAAGCCATTTACTTGTGAAATCTGTGGCAAGTCATTCACAGCAAAAAGTTCTCTTCAGACTCATATCAGAATCCACAGGTTAAGTACAGTTTTTGCTCTTATTTTTAAAGTTGTTTATTTAGAAAGCTTTAACAGGTTTAAATCCTTGCCATGTAAATGTCAGAGGAAAAAACAACCATTACAACAGTGAAATTTTGTTTAGAAAAATATACAGTAATATAATTATTGGCACTCCCTAACAGGATATTATCATCCTACAAATGAGTATTTTTACACTACCCAAGACATGTATGATTGTTATAATCTCTGATCTGCAACTTCTAATTCAGTAGATGTCCTATAAGGGTGTGATATGTGGAGTCTACGGAGAGCCAACTGAGGTCACTCAATTAGGCTGCACAACAAGAAATGGGACAGCCAATCCCCAAAGCTGCTGATTATTCCTATATTTACGTTCACCAAGCCAGCAAAAACAGTATCTGTATTACCTCATTAGTCAATCGGAAGTCCAAACAATGCATGTTCCTTAAAGTACCCAACCTGAGGCTTCCACCTAGACACTGTAGTCAAATAAAATTCTACCACACTCAAAGGATGGGTTACATTACCTTCCATGTCAATAAATATTTCAGACCTTATCCCAAATACACACTTATTGTGAATCCTTATTAAATAGATTAAAATGTATTAAAGAAAATAGAGTATTGGTTAAAAGATCAATATACATACAAACATGAGTTCAATTCTTGACGTTCAGTTATATAACTGTGAAGGTGATCTTTAGCTGCAAAAGTTCCTTTATCATTTAGTGCTTTAGAGTTTTGTCAAACCTCAGCTTCGTAAAATTGATAATCTCAATATTTCGGTATGACAGCAGTCCTGTTGTTAACTCATAAATATGAACAAATAAGGGAGAACTTTCACACTATTGTGCAAGTCTTAAAACTAGAGTCTAGAAAATGTATCATTGAATATTTTTCTTACATGACTGCCTGTAAGCACTACTATAGTACAGCAGAGATTATTAGTAGTTATAGTATTATATGTATTATGCGAGTCATTTGCCAGATAGAAACTCGCAGAAAGCAATAGTTTTAGAATTAGTATTTCTGATTATGTAAAATATTCTCTTACAGAGGGGAAAAGCCATATTCTTGTGGTATATGTGGAAAATGTTTCTCGGATTCGAGTGCTAAGAGAAGACATTGCATTTTACACACAGGCAAAAAGCCTTTCTCCTGCCCAGAGTGTAATTTGCAGTTTGCACGCTTGGACAATCTGAAGTCTCATTTGAAAATTCACAGCAAAGAAAAGCAATTGCAAGAACCCAGCAGTGCTCCTAGCAGCAGCAGTAGCTCTGAGGAGGTCAGAAACATTCTTCAGTTGCAGCAATATCAACTGTCCACCTCTGGCGGACAGGAGATTCAGTTACTTGTCACGGATTCCGTTCATAACATAAACTTTATGCCAGGTCATAATCAAGGTATTAGTATTGTTACTGCTGAGAATTCCCAAAATATGACAACAGGCCAGGCTGCTAATCTTACTCTGCTCACTCAGCCACCACAACAGCTGCAGAACCTGCTTCTTGCAGCCCAGCAGGAACAAGTAGAACAAATCCAAAGTATCAATATGATGGAGAACCAGGTAGACACTGCTCAGTCAGAGCAAATGCATGTCATCACTCTTTCAAAAGAAGCACTGGCACATCTTCATGCCCATCAAGGGCAAACTGAAGAACTTCATCTTGCAGCAGGCACTCAGCATGTGCAGCTGACCCAGGAACCTAGCCGTCAGTCTCATACTAACCAAGATGCAGTCCATTCCCATCAAATCAGTGAAGAACAGAACCCAAATGTACGCATTTCTGAATCACATCCACAATCTTTGTCAGTAAACCAGCCATCCCATGAGCACCAGATTCAGAGACCGGCTTTTTGAAATACAAGCTAGGATTGCTTCTTTTTTAAATGCTTGCCTTCAGGGAACTGGGCTGAATTGCGCTTTTCATTCAGATAAAGACCTACACATCACATTCTGTTTGCTGCAAAATGTAATCTATATGAAGCTGTATTTCTTGGTGATCTTGATGGATGGCTTTCAGTTTCCTTTATTTTAATCCATGTATTTTTAGGGTTTTATTACTTTAGGTGCCTGATCAACAAGCATAGCCTTCTCCTCAGGAGGTCAACGTGACTATTATCTGAACTATAAATGTCAAGGTAACCAGTATTTTTTTTTCATAATGTTGACAACACATCTTCTATTTAACAAGCTTTCTGTCTCTAGGTATATATGTAATTTTCAGTATGACCATTCCGATAAGTGCATTTTAATTCATTGAATACCAAATTTGTTCATGCTTTTGATTAAAATTGATGCACTCATTGATTGCACTGTGGTTCACTGTAAGAATGTTAAATTTCAATTAAGCAGCTAATCCAGTATTCGATGGAATTTCCATCAATTATTTGATTTAAGGGCTGGGGTAGGGCGCTTGCTATCCTGGTTGCACCTTTTCTGGCAGCTCTTACCACATTTAAAAGGCAGAGATGCAGTGGGAACCAGGGTGAGCAGGGACTGCTTGAGTCTCCGCTTGCCCCGGGTTCCCTGCTGTGCCACCTCTGCCTTTTAAATGTAGCAAGAACCCCATAAGGCTCTTGATACATTTAAAAAGCAGAGGCACAGCAGTCAGACCAACGTGAGCAGGGACTGCTTCAGTCCTCACTCACACCATTTCCTGCTGTGTGTCTGCCTCCTCTGCTGCACACTTTTCCCTCCCACCTTCCATGGAGATGGGGCTGGGCGGAACCAGCTTTTAAGCCAGCTTACCCCAGCACCGGCTCCTGCTCCTGTTCCCATCCCACTTACTGCCTCTGTATCAGAGACAGCAAGGGATGGGAATAGCGACTAGTTGACTCTACTACCCAATAAGCTTATGCTTATTGGGTAGTTGACTAGTCAGTTACATCCCTAGTTCACTGTTTCTTTTTTCTGTGTTCTACAATTCCTACTCCCCAAAGGAATGTTTAAATCTGTGCATGTAATTTAGAGGGAAGAGGCAATGAGATGTTGTGGCTAGAGTGGACTACTGGAAAGCTTGGGTGCTATTCTTGGCACTGCAAGTGACTTGTGTGATCTTGGGCAAGTCACTTAAGTTCTCAGTGCCTTAATTGTAGTTTCTTCTTCTACAAAATGTGGATAATGCTTAACAACCTCTGCAAAGCACTTTGAAGATCTGATGTAAAGCACGATAGATGTGCCAAATGAGTGGGGGGTTTTCCTGACAAAGACTGTCTTAGTTGAGGAGCAAGTTTATATATTTAAATCATTATTTTTATATTTTTGAGAGCAGAATGTGACATTACTTTTAATGTGATAATTTTGTTCGTTGTGTCTGAAACAATGAATAAAATCATTCTGGAACATGAGCTACAAAAAGGGTGCATTTTGTAACTAGATTAAATGTGTACAGTTTACATTACTAATGCCTGATTTCCAATGGAGAAGGGATTGAAGTGGTATTTAAAAGACATCCCAGAAAGAAAAGCTGGGGAAGATCATGTGCTCTACATTTGGGGTTCAGTTACTAATTATCTGTTTAATGCACTTGTGTATATAAAAATCCCAATTAAAGTCATATGGCCAGCTACAGCAGTTTGAAGGTTGAGGCTGATGTTAAAAATGTCATGGGATTTAAATATGTATCTTGGCTTGTCATCTAGAAATACAACTTTTCTCTCAATAATTACTATGGATTTTTTTTTTTAAAGTTTCCTACATAACTGGCTGTCCATGCCATTGGCTGGTCAGAAAACCACTAGAATGTATTTTTGGATGTTAGCCATCTTGCAGAAACAAAGTATTCAGCTGGCTACTGAGAATGTGTTACTGTAATTTGGGTGAGAAGTACAGGCAGTCCCCGGGTTACGTACAAGATAGGGACTGTAGGATTGTTCTTAAGTTGAATCTGTATGTAAGTCGGAACTGGCGTCAGCCGCTGCTGAAACTGATCAGTTTCAAC